TCTATTGATGGGGTAGGGTAAACATTTCAAGTCAATTGAGTGCGTGCATCCCGAGTTGTATTAAGAGTCTCATTCTGGTAGATTTAGGTGAACGGTGATCGTCGAAGTAACGACGGGGCTCATATTTTTATCTGAGATAGTATAGATATAGACTAGTTTATCCTTAAAAGAAAAAGGTTCCATATTACTTTATTCAAAAATTATAGGGATCGCACGTCAGATCGCCAAATGACCAATTAAAAAAATTCATTTCTCTCGAACGAAGAAATATTCAGAACCGAAATTTTTTCTATATATTCTTTGTATGGTAGTTAAAATAATTTTAAATTTTTCGTCTAGAAAAAATTTCTTTCGTGTAGAACAGCTACGACCATCCCACCTCCCATTCTTCCAGTGACTTCTTTACCTTCGCCGGTGCCAGCGAGCTAGAGACTTGAAACTTCGGAAACTAAGACACTTTACAATTTTATAGTTTACATCTCGTCGGAAAAACTAACGGAACGTCTTACAAAAGGTTGTCTGTAGCAAAAGTGTAAAACTGACTTTTCTTATCTTGCGAAGCTGATGATAAAAATTTGAATTCGTAATTCGAACGGGCTATGAAGAGTTTCCCGCATAATACATTTAAAGATTGGCCAAAACTTTTTCGCGAAGCTTCGTTTTTTGGAAAGCCGAATTTTTTCCAGCTATTCTTTCTAATGAGTCAAAACATTTTTAAACCAAATTTTCCATGAATTGTCGAAAACAGAAGTCTAGAGAACTTTAAGATCCACATATGTTTGAAACATCGACCGAATAAATGAGTCAGTGTTATCTAGAAATCTTGTGCCAACTACATCTTTCGGTTTACTTTAGTCTGAAGTAATCTCTCTGATTCGATACATCACAATGCAATTACCTGCGTATCTCTAAGAGCGTTTTACTTTCAAGAAAAGTAAAAAACAAATGAAACCTTGAACGAAAGAAACAAGTATTGATTCACTGGAGATTCATTAAAGAACAGGCACACCTAGCTTTCAGTATGCTGCAGCCGTTGTTTTTTTTTATGGAGAATTTCGTCATTCAACAGATGCTGACCTTTTATGAAAAACACCAATGATATGAAAAATCTATGACTTATTGCTTAACTTTGTTTCCATTTCATTCCATATCATTTTTCTTTGGAACGTATCCAAACTGATTTTGGAAATACGACGAATGTCTTAAAGATACTAGACGTCTACCATCACTAATCTAACACGTGATTAAAAATAATACTTATAAAAGACTTTTAACTTGACATTTTATATACGAGAAAAGCTGCTTTTGTTACCAGCTGCGTGTTAACTATTAATTTTATTTATAGGAAAAAGACTTCTGCAGTGATATTATGAACAAAATAATTTCTAACTTTTTCATGATAAAAATGACACAAAGAGAGAACAAACACATATACAGGTAGAAAATTTTGATAAAGCATTGATAAGAGTTTTAGGTGAAAAGTATGACAAAATAAATAAGCATGAAACTAAAATATTTTATTACAACGCACGTGAAGATGTTTTCCACTGTAGAGCCGATGCCATTGCTCTATCACCTTTTTTGTTTACTCTTAATATCTAGGATTACCACAACAGTATCAGACACATGTCGTCAAGCATCACCAGTCAGTGGTCATGGTGCTATGTATCGTGTCGATAGTTCTTGTTCATATTCATTCTCTGGTAGTTATATGTATTATTGTTTTCCAAACGTCACGTTTAATCAAGTAATAGTTGATCAAGGTTATATAAGCCTTGGAATTTATAATCGTTTCAATGGTGTCAGTCTTGATATTGGTTTATTCTATGAAAATGACATTAAACGTTGGTTAGGCTTCGTACATGATGCACGTGGATGGCAATTTGGTAATATGATGATTGATCCAACTACATATCCATGTATCTACCTTGTTGTTTATATAGCAGATGACAAAATTATTCAGCGAGTTCAAGCGGGCACAATGGAACAACAAGCTCAATATGAACTTTCATCATTTGATCCGAATTTAAATTTGACACAGTTAGATCAGCTTGGGTTTTATCGTTTCGATAGTATACTGCAAGAACGTTTTGAAAATCTAAAAAGTGGTTCAAAAATGCTTAATGTTGAAATGAAAGATTGGGTATTATATCTGAATAATACAGACTGGGTTGCAGCTGAGCCACCCTATATAGCGTCAAATATTAGTGGACCATGTTGTACACAAGATGAAATAAATACAGTTAATGTTTACAATCAACCACAACAATGGTCACAGTCAAATATTTCTATTTCATACATATAAAAACAGATATACTGTTTCTTTATGGGTTTACCAGCTAATGGTTCTCTTTGATTTAGGAAGTAGAAAATCACTTTTCAGTTAGATCAAATCAAATTATGCATAACTGACTGTAGTTTTCTTTTAGCTCTGATATGGAAAATGAATAAAAATTCTTTTTATGAGACAAAGGTCACCAGAGGTTGTACATGAAACTACTAAAACATAGTATGGGTGATTGCAACATGAAAATGAAATAGGATTTATTTTGAGACCGCCATATGCATGGCCTATACTTCAAACGCACTGAAAAAAACTGTAATTTTATAAATATCCAATTTATTAGCTTTCTACTGTTCAGTGCTAGATGATTAAACATATTATTATGTCTAAACATATGAACTTATAGAATAAACATCCCTCTTCAATTGGACCATGAACCAATTATAGGAGTTTGATAGTTTTCGACAAAATCGGAAAATACAAAAATCTGCGAAAATTCACGATTTTTGGGAACAAGGGTGACAGTTGACAGACTGTTTGGCCCCTGTTTTATTAAAAAACACTTTCAGAAAGAGTTATTGCAGGATTAGTGGTTATTTTGTACGCGATTTTGAATGAGACATAAATAAACTAAAAAAAATTTACCGAAGGACAGCCTAGACCGATTTTCTGCCGAAGATTCTCGTAATTCTTATACATACCTCGTAACTTAAGCGACATATTCAATTTATTCCGGTTTCTTTTGGAGAATGAAACACTGAAATATAACATAGACAAGGAAACCAGCCATTATTTATACCTTCAAAATAGAAACTGTATCGGAAAAATACATGACGCAATTTAATTTTGATTGAATCCCAGTAAAAGAACAATAAAACATTTCATAATTTCTTCCTTTCGAAAGTAAGGTTCCGCACATTCAAAGATTAAGCAAAATTTTATTTTTGCCTCAAATATAAACCATTCGACACAAAATTTTACGCTACACGCGAATATCACACTCAAAAATTTTTTAGAGGGCGTTATCTAGGAGAAAATTTCCAAAAAATGAGATGGTCCGTTTTTTGAAAAACTTTTGACTTGTCGAAAAATGCTGAAAAAATATCTCGGCTCGATAAGGGCATAGAAACTGCGGAATGTTATTTTCGGGATCAGTGGATGCCAATGACTATAAAAAGTGTATTTTAGGGTTCTTGAGAAGCGCAAAGTCTTTCAAAAAATTTCATTTTCGAGATGTGCTCAAAAGGGAGACCCCTTGCTCAAAAAAGCAATAAGTCTTTCTCCTGAGGCAGGAGACTCTTGAATTTTACGGTATTAGAACCGCCGCCAAACGCAGAACAAAGTTATATATCGAAATTTGTTTTTCGTTCTCCAGATATTCAGTTTTCATTGAAAATGAGCTAGTTTCGCCCATAATCAATTAACTGATTTGCGAAAAATTCAGTCAATTTTAGCTCTACGACCTTGTAAATCTCGGTTCTTAGTAAAAGAATTATGGCAAATCCAACGGGAACAGTTTCAAATCTTCAAAAACCTTCCAACGGGGTTTTCTGAAGACTAGATCTGCAGAAAATCTTACCGAAAACCAAATTGTTTGAAAATAGTACTGATCAACAGAGAATCGAATTTTGAACAAATTGAGGCCTACCCGAGCATTCTATGACTTTCCCATGATCTGAAATCTTCAAAAAAAACATTTAAAAAACTTTTGAATCAGTTTTCTGATTTTTTTGTCGATATCAGGTCAAGTGAAAGTCATAGAATGCTCGGGTGGATCTCAATTTGTTCAAAATTCGATTCTCTATCGATCAGTACTGTTTTCAAACAATTTGGTTTTCGGTAAGATTTTCTGCAGATCTAGTCTTCAGAAAACCCCGATTTTCAAGGTCGTAGAGCTAAAATTGACTGAATTTTTCGCAAATCAGTTGACCGATTATGGGCGAAACTGGCTCGTTTTCAATGAAAACTGAATATCTGGAGAACGAAAAACAAATTGTTTTACTTCGATATATAACGTGATTATTATGCGGATGATAAATAATGCTGAGACATAGGTGCATAATTATTTTCAAGTTATCTAACCAAGGTTGTACAAATATGATGTTTGTTGAAAACCAATTTCTATATAGAATAGGACTTTGTAGAGAACGAAATATACCTTAGCCAGGAAATCTTTTTCTCTCTCTCTCTCCTGAGGGTCTTACCTTTATGTGCTTTGTCTATGTGTTATTATTTATTATTTGTACATGTCCACGCTGACAGTAACCCAGAATCTAATCTTTTTATTTCTCTATGTTTCTGTGAAAAGTAAATACAAGTGATGTTTTCTAAACATTAATGCGTCTGTAATTTTCAGTTTCTTATCAGAGGATATTTCCATTGTTATATTATGTTTCTCAATGATTTTTCTCATGAAATAGATACAATTTTCAACTAGACACATACCAGACGAGAAAAAACGAGAAGAACCAGTCTGTACCTTGTTCACATTCGCGATGTTAAACAAAAATGTTGGCAAACTAAACACAACTAAAAATCAAACGAAGGTCAACGCGTTTTTCTTCGGCAGCGTTTAAACGGATTTTCTGTCTAATATAAAAGAAAACGGCAATGTTTGTTCTGCATTTCTAATCGCTTTTTCCAGCTTTTTCTATAAAATAAACGCGTTTTCCATCGTTTCTTTAAAAACAATAAAAATTTCACGTTTTGTTGAGGCTGCTCTCGTAGAAAATTTTTCAATGGGATAATGCGCCAAACTTTCATTTCTACCGCAAATACACAAATCAATATTACCACTTTTTGATCTCGCCACTTTTCAGTGGGAATTTCACGTGAATATCACCACTTTTTGATCGCATGAGAGATGGCACAAACACTCTTACATGATTTAAATTTACAGCAAATATTTTCAGCAAAAAACGATGGGGCTGTTGATGAAAATTTAATAGCACAGGTTCCAAAACGTAAGAACAAGCTCGTAAATGAGCGACTAGATAGAGCTAATCGAACCGGAATAAGAGGCAAACTAGAGTTAGAAATGACTGTTTTTACTGGGACTTCCTAAACGGACCTCTTTCAGTATTTTCTTGACATATTTTTTTCGCTATAGCTTTATTTTGTTCAATGTTCTCATCAATATATATTGAACATTGAACAAAATAATAACAATATTGTCCTGTATCTTACTTCGTCAAAACCAAAACGATGGGTTTGTAAATTACAATCAGCAGTCATCATCGTTTGCATCGTCGTTCTTCTGTCATTCGCTGCCAATCTTCACTTTTTTTTATTTTACAGGCAAGCGATTATAACCAAGGTACCATCGAAATTATGATGCATACTAGATGGTCGCCTTTATCACCGTGCGTAAAAACTTTAACATATCGAGAATTGTGGAACAGAACACACCCAGTCTTATAAAATTTGACTGTTTGGTGTAGCAGACTTTTTGCTCAATAAATGCCGGCGCACTTTCAGTTTAAAAAACGACTGGAGTCAGACTTGGGACTCGAGGTAAAATGACTCGAACTCGAAAAGGGAAGAACTCGTTCACCTCTGACGAGTGGATCTCGCGAACTGTCACATCGCTTTTCCAGTCAAACCTTGTGGATTATAGGTTATCAACTATGCTGAACCCGAATATCAAGTGGTCGCTAAGTTATAGAATTTATAAGAAGAGCCCTAAATATTCATTGTCAGCTCAGAGCTACAGAAATAAGAAGAAAAAAAATTTAGGACTTTTTTTGTAAATTCTGTAACTTGGCAAATAAAGGTCATAGAATGGAACTGAGAGATGATGTCTCATTTTAATTAGAAAATTGCGGACTATAATCATGCTTCATTAAGAAAGCTTTTGGTTACCTTTTAGGGTTTCTGAAAACCTGTTTTTCCGGAGATCCGCTCTCCAAAGGCTACCACTATGATATTTGAATTCAGCATAGTTCATAAGCTATAGCCCACTAGGTTTAACAATAGGAAAACGACAGATTATCATAACACCATGCTCAATCCATATCTGAGACTTGCTTCTAACTAGTCGTATCTTGTTCAGCATGTGTGAAAACCTATAAATCCAAATTTCAAGCCTTCTAGGACTTTTACTATCTGAGTTCTGGATGGTTTTCTAAAGTCCGCTCGATGGAAAATTTAGCGTCTAAAAAATGGAGAGCAAAAATAAGGATTCTGTTTCTCCGCCAAGACAAGTAATGGAAGAGGAATTTTTTCATCTTATGTAGTCCATTGCACGGTCTATCCAATAATGCGATCAGATGGTGTTTATCTTGGACCTTCAGCCCGACACCGAAGGTCTTCTGAGAGTCTTAGGGATTTATATTGTTTGACATCGCTCTCGAGCGTGTGGCTTAAGTATAAAACGAGATGTACCTTTCATAGACATTCAAATGTGGACTATCGAAATCTGGTCTCGAAAGTCTAGGGTCTTATACGGATCTCTGGAAAACCTTTGGGGATTCCAAGAAATACCTTAAGTTTACCAAAAAGACTTTTAAATTACATAATTGGAAACAGCACGAAATTCTAAACAAAATGAGGTATTGCTCATAGTTTTAACAGTTACTTTAAAAAAGGTGAGATGTTCAAGTAAAATTTGGTTTACTGTAAAAACCTAATTTTTAAGTTGTCGAATTTATGGTTGAGAAAAACTGAAAACCAGTAATACCTAATTTTTTCCAGAATTTCATGCTCTTTCCAATTATGTAATTTAAAAACCTTTTTGATAAATTTAAGGGGTTTCTGGAAACATCAAAGGTTTTTTAGAGACCCTTATAAGACTCCAAACTTTTGAGACCAGATTCAGATAGTCCACACTTGAATGTCTATGAAAAGTGCGTCTCGTTTTACAGTTAAACCATACGCTCGAGAACAGCGTCAAACAATATAAACCACTAAGACTTTCAGAAATCCTTCGGTGTTGGGCGGAAGATCCGAGGTAAAAACGATATGATCTCGAGGCATTTTCTTCCGTTTCATCAGCCTTTCATCTCGAGATCAAGTCGAGTACG